TTGAATGACGCCATGGCACTAAATTCCCATCGACCGCTCTAACATTCCGTCCCTCGCCCGCCCCACCTCACCCTCGCTGCTCGACGCAGCTGCCGATTCAAATGTTAACGGACTTTTGGACCACCCTGTATATATATATATATATATATATCGAAAGGTATTTCCATAATTAAGCAGACAAAATGGAGATATGTATAAAGAGAGTTTAAGAGAGATATTTTCTACCATTTGTTTTAGGTGGCATGGGTGCGCGTCGACACGCAAACTATACTGTCGATTCATCAGAACGTAATTACCCAGAATCCCCGAATCACGTTATCGTTCAATGATCATCGTTCATGGTATCTTCATATAAAGGAAGTTCAAGAAGTTGATCGCGGATGGTACATGTGCCAGGTGAATACGGATCCAATGAAGAGTCGTCAAGGTTACGTACAAGTTGTAGGTAAGCAGTGTTTCATGTACAAAGTGCATATACTTCTTATTTATATTTAAAATTGTTTTTTTATAAATTATAGTCCTCCAAAAAATTATCTATCAACTTTTTCTATCAACATATTATTTAATAACTCATAATAAATATAAGTGTGTGTGTGCGCGCGCGCGCGCGCGCGCGTGTGTGTGTGTGTGTGTGTGTGTGTGTGTGTATGTGTGGATGTGATCGCAAGTCTGTAAAGAATTCAAATTCATATAAATGTGATTAGCATGAAAATAAAATTTTTTTTAACGTTTGTGTTACAGTACCTCCGTCAATTATTACCAAAGAGACCAGCACTGACATGGTGGTCCGCGAAGCTTCCAATGTGACATTGACGTGCAAAGCGACCGGATATCCGGAGCCTTACGTCATGTGGCGACGGGAGGATGGTCAGAACATAAATTATAATGGCGAGAGTGGTAAGTCATAATTAATTCGTCATGATTATCAGGAATAGACAATTGAATAGAGACGATGGATTCAGAGCTTAACGCCAAATAGGATAGTTATTTTATAATGCTGTTGAGAGATATATGCCGATCGATAATCATCATCGCAAATGCTAATTTTACTACTTTTAGACCGATCTCAATTCTAGTATGATATTTTTATTTAAATTTATATTTTTATCATACTTATGAATTAATTACAAAGTTACATCTACAATCAGTGATGACATATTTGAAGTGTTTACTGAGTGCTAAATTTGAAATATTAAAAAAATACTGTTAATTTCAAGTTACTTTTAAATAGCACAATGTATCTCAATATTATATGTTATTTGATTCAAATTTTAAGGAAGATGGAATTTTTTGGATACTTCTTAAGTGTAATATTTACTTAAAGTTTACAAAGTTCAATCTGATAACTTAAATATGATTAATATTAATTTTAAAATTATACTTAATATTTTTGTAGATAAATTAGATAAAATAAATGAACAAATATATACGTATAATTATATATATAAACATAATGAAACTCTCGAAAGTAAAACAACACATTTGCCATTATATAATATAACGATAATTAAATGTATCATATGCATAATGTGGAATATTTTATAAATTTTCCGATATCGAATTGTATTATATGTTTACATCAGCGATTATCACTAATTAAATCCGTTTTTAAACATAATCACTCTTTATGCGTTTTTTTCTCATTATATGAATAATACAATTTTCTGAGCAAATATAATGCAATGATATATACAGCTACGTCTCTAAGTTAGTATTATCCACCCCGCTAACGGATGCTGTGCTTTAACGATTAATTATTCCTCTCCTAGTCCAACATCAAAATTCGGTTGAGCCATGGCCAGAACGCAATTATTCAGGTGCGCGCGGTATAACCACTGTATCGCCAAACTGTACTGTAATGTGTCCAAAAGTGTAGTTGCAGTTCACAGCTAGTTCGGAGTTGGGGTCGATAACATTGAGATATGGATATGCTATCCGGTAAAATTTCTTCAATTTCTGCGTGAAAAGTTACCTCGCTAAACTTTTTTATTTCGTATTGAGTTGCTCAGAATGTTTTGTTCTTACTCTACATTTTAGTAAACGAATAGGATGTAGGTTTGTAGAGATAGTAAAATGATATTTATACATTCAACGGTAGTTCTATAAAAATATAATTTTAGATGTTACAAAAAATTATTTGTAATTCAAACTAATTACAATTATATTTACAATTAGTACAAATAAATACTAAATTGCGTATTTATTTATTAAATTAGTATTCGCTATGAAGATTAACAATTATCAAACTTCAATGTAAATAACGGATCGATGAGCGCAGCTGTGGCGTCCTTGTCATTTCATCATGATGAAAATAACCACACGATATAAGAACACGTCTACTTCCTTGAATCTGTCTCGATCGATGCTAATTACCCTCTTAATTACTAATTATGACTAGACTAAAAAGTACAAGTCAGTCTGTCGGGGTGGATATTCACGGAAAGGAGAGACGTCAAACCGTCTGTAGATTCCAGAGGGTTTCCTCAATAAAGGATAAAGGTCGGATTTAATTTCTGCGCGCTAATTTAAATTTTCATTGCCTTCCAAGCATACGCCGAATGCCGACGCTCAGAGGATCGTCAGATCGTAAACCACTACTCCATACTAAGCCGGCCGTATAAACTGATACTGATAAATATGGATGTCGCGCGTTCTGATATGGAAAAATAGTCGATTACGTAGCGTGATGATTTACTGATTATCCGCTGCCAAAGTGATGCCCGATTTATTGTGTTAATAAGATAAATAAATTGAAAAGTTCTTATATTAAAATAAAAATAAGATAAAGTTGTTAATAAATGTTTCTATTTGTATGTTATTTTATCTTCATTTTTATTCACAGCTATTTATATACATTTGATTTTGCGTTATTTTCACAATTTTTCTGTAAAAAGAACGATAATTAAAATAATAACTTTAAAAATTCTTGCGACACAAAGCAACATATAAAAATTCTTTTGAAATATTTTACCATTGTAATTGCACCCAATTTAACTGTTATTTGAAAGTTCCTTAATTACAAATATATTCTTTTTCGTTGTAATCTATGAAAATGGGTTCGAGAAATATCGCTAAAACAAATTAACAAATTAATCTGATTTAACATGAATTAGAAAATAAAGCTGAAGAAAATATGAGCTATATGTTTTAAATTGTGTCTTTATTAGTATAATAATTATTTCGTATTTTTTTAGTTATAGAGAAGGTAAGATATAATTGTATAAACATAGCATTGTTTCAATATTGTTAATAAATTTATCAGTTTCTAAAACAACAGTTTTTTAATAAAAACTCGTGTATCTAAATATTGTTTATTAATACGCAAATGCATCGCGATGCATCACATTGAAAAAAATTCCATCTCATCTCGCATTGTTTGGACATTATTATATAATACATGAAAATGCAACCTAATTTTATCGTAAATGGAAGGTAATCATTGAAGGTGAACGTACTAGAAAAATCCGATAATGTAAAGAAGAAAAATATTGTTGACCATGTAAGTGTTGCTGTAATTATACATGTTATATTTATAAATGTATTATACTATACTTCGTCCGTATTATTTTAAAATGGGCTAACGCGCACTCGTAACAAATATTTATTGCTTTGAAAATATACGTTGAGAAGAACTTAAAATGATAGCTGAAGTTATAAGATGACATTTCATAACATTACTAAAGAGGAAATAAACTTTTATGTTCGCGCACAGCACATGGGCGTTGAGGGTTAACACCTTTTAGAAGCTATGAATATTTTATTTATATCGAGCCATTATCCATACTTCATCCATTTACATAAACTGTTTCGTTTCCAAAAACGTCTATTATCATATTTTTGTTAATTCTTTTACTTTCTCTTAAAAAATTCAGTATTTGAATCCTGCAGAGAACAGGGAAGCAATAAGTTATAAGTGTTCTAAGCTCTCGTTAAAAAACTTTCCGATATTTGTTAAATTTTTAATAATAATTTTATTTTACGATTCCTTAAATAAGTTTTTGAGATTACAGACTCAAGCAGTTCTTAATAAAACATAAAATTTTTAAATCAATTATGACGTACTTGATATTATCGTAAAATTAAATGTTATAAAAGTATAAAGTTTTTCTAATTTAAAAAATGAAATTATCTCTTGATTTCTTTAATATCCTTTAGATAGAGATCCGTTATTATCACATCTTTAATTATGGATTTGTGAAGTTGCTATGCATCGATAGGTGATCGATATTAGTCGACGCACAGAGATGCTTTCCAGCAAACCGACGATTCATCATTCGAGATGAGCGTCAGATTATCCGTGTAATTGGACGAAATATCGCGATGGTGAATATGGTTCGCGTTCGAGCCGTACGACCGTGTTACTAACTGATGTGTTGGCCTCTGGGGCACGAGGGACGGGCTAACGCCATTACTTCCCGCCTGATAGCCTCCAGACACCCACCAACCCTCCGAGAAAGTATAGATGGTTGCCGGCTTTTCTTGCTTCTTCTTGAGCCGAAGGTATACCCCATCCGCGCGCAGTCTACCCTTTCGCCCACCTCGGGGCGAGTAACCGAAAAAGAATGGCTGAGAGAGATGAGAAAGCAAATCGAATTTAGCAAAACTATCGCGCGTCGAGGTGCTGCCGTCGTTGAACGTGATGGTGGTAGTGGTGCGAGGCACCTGCAGGTACAAGGGAGATTTACCTCCGGCGGACAGGTACCGGAACTGATCGTGCGGAAGGGCGATGGCGAGAACACGAGGGAAAAGATAAAAGAAAGAGACGCGGGTGGAAAATTAGAGCACAGACGAGTGCCGGGGGTAGCCATGAGGAACAAAATAAACGACGAAGACGGCGGAAACGAATCGTCGCGCCGCTCGTGCCTTTAATACGATCGTTCATAAGAGCGATAACGCGCCGCAATTCAATGACGTTTCACGGATGTCGTGGCCGGGGCTGAGGGGTGAATTGGAATCGGATGCAATGGCCGAATCGGAGGAGTAGGAGGGCAAGCTATACTCCGACAAGCCCGATACCAGAGGTTCACCTGCGCGCACGAACGAAAATTCACCTTGCCTCCATAGTTATGGAAACGCGTATACTCGTCGACACTCGTCGATGCCGTATCGCACGCTTCGTGCTCGGGAAACCCGATTGGCTTCTTCCACCTTTTCGAAGGGTACCGCCTGGTCACTACCCGTCCATCGTGCGTCCGTGTGCGCTACTCCATTCCCATCAGCGCTAGTCGGACAGGGTGGACAGACTCAGTTTTTTCTCTCTCTCTCTCTTTCTCTCTCTCTCTCTCTCTCTCTTTCTCGATACGAGACGACTCTAAACTCATTCGGACGCGTGTGTGTAATAGACATGTACATACCGCGCAAACCATCCACTCGACTGTACACATCTACACGATTATCGTGGATCAATGTAGCTGCGCGCTCGTGATTATGTGTGTACTCACGAATCCTTGCACATATGTACTATTCACCGACCGTTAAATGTACATACATGTGAAGTCATGGACGTGCGCGCACACTTCCTCCTCGCTCACCTGTTTATATCTACCGCAAGAAGCAAAGGTAGATAGCGAGAAAGCGAGAGACACATATATCACGAGTATTTCCGTCACCGATACTCTCACGAGTCCTGGCAAGATCTCCCCGTTAATGCGACCACGGCTTGTCGACGCGAGGCCGACATAACGCGATGCGACTGGAAAATCGAAACCGACAACGAGCTGAGTTTCCCGCCGCACCGATGTACCGGGGAGACGTACGAACGTACAGGAGAATAGGAGCCGATGTGCATCGGGTATAAAGCACGGCGCAAAGTCGGCTATACCTCGCACTCATTTTACGCTTACACACCCAGCAACGCTCGCCCAGTTCTGCGCCAGGGAGAACACACGTACACATAAGCTCGAACCGGTATCGAACGCCCTGATGTCTGTGGTGCGCCAATGCTTGCGGTGAAGAGGCACGTTACGTTTTCTCGTTACCGTTTGAGGTTCCTTTGTGCCTTCCAAACCGCTGGTAAAGTCAGCGTTCAGCACGGAGTCAATATTATCTGAGAAATTTCTCGCTGGAAACTGGAATATAATAGCCCCGTCTTTCATCCGCTTTACGCAATGCTGCACTGCAAACGTAATTTGTCTTTCAAACCTCGTGACGTCAAGCGTCCATGACAATTGATCGTTGATGCTCCCTGAATCCGTACTGTAGTAACGAGCGATTTTATTTCATTTCATTACTCATTGTCCACGTTTGTCGCAAGTATTTACGCAATTTGTCTGGTACCTGTGGACATTTTTATGTTTTTTCATGCATAAAGCTTATACAAATAGCTACTGGAAAATGTGACCGAATGTTTTTAATTCTTACACATACCATTTATTTAACGTACCATTTGTGTGTGCGTGCACGTGTGTATTTATATATACACATTTATACATATTATTTATATACGTATGATTGTTACCTATTCAAGTATTCCGCGTTTGTGTATTGAAAATTTCAGGTTATTTAAATGGAATGGACTTTCTTTTTCCTTTTTTACATGAAAATAGCGAATCAGATAGAATAAAAATAGATTTTATTTTAATTATTTTGCAGAATGGAAGGCGCGAGTGACGTAGATTTGAAAGATAAAAATATTGAATGCCGTGTTTGCTTTTTCAATATTTTATATAACTTATATAATTGCGCTATTTGTCACAGTCATCATTATTAATGTGCCTGTGAAAATGTTTTCACTACCAGTGCAATAAATACATAAGAATCACTTACGTACGTCTGGTCTAACATTCGCGGATACATTAGCAGCAATAATCGTTGGCCGAGGATTTCGCTTGAAAATGAATGTACCTGGGTTATCTCACGGTTATAACGCGAAAAAGAGCACTTAAGGCTACGAGAAAGGGGGATGGGATGAAATATCTGCGACCCATCCTTCGCTTATGGGGCGGAATACATCACGTACTAATTCCCAAATAGGTGGCCAACCCTCCACTTCGTCTTCGAGTAAGCTGTTCGCTTATTTTTACGCCGCCGAGAATACGTCGCGGAAAACGTTATGCAAAGCACGGCCCGGCATTCGATGTGAATGAACGCTAATTTATTTCAGGGTACTTCCGCGCGCGCACCGCTTTTCTTTACGCACATTTGCCGCTTAAATCCGACAACGGATGAGCCACGAAAGATTTCACGTCATTCGCAGACGCGCAATGTCCCGTGAAAATTTCGAAACATTTTCACCGGTACGAGCGCAACGCGAAACTTTATCAAGTCCGACGATTGGGAGCCAATTTTGCCGAAGTTTAATAACGTTATAGCTCGAGCACTGATCTTTCTAGGTCGACGCAGGCAATATCACGTAGTATTATAGACACGTACATCAAGTACATGTCTATAACTTTAATATATGATACGTAATATTCACGTAATATGTACATATCTGGGCGCGGTAGATGTCTCTCTCATTGCATTCTGTATTATATTAACATTAGACAAATATTTTATTCCTGTTACATAGCGAAGAATTTAATTTATTCTATTTTATTTTCCTGGCAATCCTCACATTTTACAACATTTTAAACGTATTATTCTCTTTATATTATTTCGACAAATAGACAAAATGGAAGTGTAGGTTAAAAATGCACACAGTGAATGCATATATAGTGAAGAACACGGAAAAACTCCACAAATAAAAGATATGAAGACAATTACAATAGAAGAGAATTACAAGTTGATGATAACTTTATTAACGGCGTTATTCATAATGTATTATAATATGACATGGCAATGCGTGAGTTCACGCGATATGATAATAGCGCATAGTTTAATCTTAACTGGCATCGATCGTCGTCCTACCGTGAAATAATCAGATCGCTGGCAATTAAATTGAGTTACCCCGATCGGGGGAGGAATGATAAAATTTAGGCGTGCCCGCAAGTAATAATTGTTCACGTTCTCTTTTGTTTGCGCCTGCCGCGGCACGTCCGCTGTGAAATTTCGCTCGACCGGACCATATTGCGGTTTCCCATTAAGCCGAAAGTTTTAAAGGTTTCCGCTAAACCGGTAAGCGAGTAGTTCCGACACAAGACCTGCGGGACTACTTGATTAAAACCCCCTGAAAGTGCGACCCGCCGGGCAGAATCTCCCCGGCACTCTGCATTGTTTATGGAACAATAGATAGGTTTGCCGCGCAGCTTGTAGCACGGGGTTGGCTACCAAGGATTCAGCACTCTCTCGCATCCCACTGCTGGCCGGGTAACAACTTTATCCCTTTCACCGCTTTCATTGCTGCACGTGTATATATGTTGCATTCCCTTGCAACAGCAAAATCTTCAGCTGTGATGTGCGGCGTAATTTAATGGAATTTTTATTTCATCCAATGTGAATTTTATTATTGAAACACATGAAAATGCGTAAACATGGAAAGATGATAAGATGACTACTATGTATATACGCGATAATATAAGTGCGCGTATTTTATACATTTTATGTTGCAAATATTATTGCATTTACTGATTTAAAAAACATCGTCGATTTTTGTATTACAATGCCTTATATTATTAACTCCCTCAGACTTCTCTGTAATGTGCATAAAATTTAAAGACATTTACTGAAATTATTTAGTTTTATCAACATTGTCTGAGATTAGATGTGCGTAATAATACAATATTGGAAAAATAGTCCAAATTTTGCAAAAAAAAAAAATTTTTTTTTATTATGAATTATTTATTTATTTATTAAAGTGCTCCTAAACTGAATTGAAAAAGAAATTAACATGTGTTCATTAAAATCAGATTTAAAGGGGTTAAATCATAATGAAATTATGTAAGGATGAAAAATTATATAAAAATAAAGTCTTCTTAGACATGGATCAAAGTGCGTGATACCTTTAAGAGCATCACACATAACTTGTAACACCTTGTGTATTTTTACAACGCTTTATTGCTTCTACGCAGTTCGGTCAAACGGACGTAAAGTTTCTCGCGTCTCACGATGCTTTCAACTTTATTGCAGGAAAAACTTTAAATAGGTTTTCCATCGCTCTATATATTCCTTTTACATTTTCTTGAAATGTCACTTTAAACTAAATAACAACGAGAAAAAGCACACCAACTTGTTTTTGCGTGAATTGTTCCATTTTAAATATAAGCACCGAAAAAAAAGATTGGTTGCTGCAACAATTTAGATAGTAAAATATGGCATAACATGTTTATATGGTTGCAGCAACTAGTTTTTGGTTGTAACAGCAAATTTTTAGTTGTGTTAACCTATCCGCGATGTCAGTATATGATTTCGATAGACTAACGCAACTAAAAATTATATAACGCAACTAACAAAGACACGTAATAAATAATAGCAGTTCGAAAAAACTTTTTT